GCATGGTCAAGCTAAGAGTGAGTTTTACATTTTTAAGTGGTTGGCAGACTTAAAAAATGTTTTGTGGCATGTGAAAGCATATAAAATTCAAAATTCAGTTTCCCAGTAAGTAAGGTTTTATTGGCGCATAGTCATGTTCATTGTCTATGTTTTATTTATGGTTTTCCTGCTACTATAGCAGAGTTGAGTAGTATGACAGAGACCCTATGGACTAGGAAGCCTAAAATATTTACCATTGGGCCCTTTACAGAGAAATTGACTGACTTCTGCTAATGAGGAATAGATTAGGCCCCAATGGGACTTGGTGGCTAGTTCCACAGGGGCCTGGCAAAGGTCTGGGTCAGGGACAGAAAGGTTTGGGAGTGGGTGACTGTAAGGTTAAGAGAGGGAGTTCAATCCCTGAGGGGAATCTAACATTTTTTAAGGGCCATGGAAGCATTACAATACAGCCCTTTTGAAAATTAGAATTTAAAATGTACTTGAAGAGGTTATACAAATACATGAGTCGGAATTCAAAGGGCACAGAAAGGCAGACAACTCAGTCTCCCGGCTGGGGTTCTTCCTGGGCTAAGGATGTAATGACTGGGTTAGCAGTTGCCTGGGTTCTGTCCAGATGCCTCCTTCTTCTTCTTTAAGGCTGTCCTAATCGACGCCCGGGTAAGGGATTTGAAGTTCCTCCGCGGCTGCGCCAAGTCAAAGCTTTAACAGCCCTTTCAATCTTCCTGACCTGGGAGGTTTGGAATCCTATAGCCGTGGAGCTTGAATTTGCGTTTCTCAGGTTCTCAGTGAGGCTGTTTGTCTATGTCACATACTCAGTAGCAATCTTTATCCCCCCTCTTTCCCACCTATTTGTCAGTGGTTTTCAACTAGAGACTATTTTTTGTGTGTCCCCAGGGGACATTTGGCAATATGTGGAGACCTTTTTTTTTTTTTAATGGCTTCATTGACATGTAAATCTCATACCATGCTATTCACCAATGGAGACAGTTTGGGTTGTCACAACTTGGGGCGCTACTGGCATCAAATGAGTAGAAGCCAGGGATGCTGTTAAAATCCTACCCCTATGCTCAGGACAGCCCCCCACAACACAACAAAGAATGATCCAGCCCAAGTCAATAGCAAGGAGGCTGAGAAACCCTGGTCCGCAGCCTTGGCCCATTTCTCGCAAGGCCCTGTCTTGCGAGGAGCTTGCGGTTGAGGTGCAGAAACAGGAAGAGCCTCACAGAAAAAAGACAATCTCCATCACTTCTGGACCCTGAATGACCCCGGGACAGGACACTGGGTGCCTAATATTTGTCAGTCACCTCAGTTAATCACTTTATTTATTTTTTATACTACATATTTTATTTGTATGCTGCTGCTGGTGTGTATAAAATAATTATCCTGAAATAGAAATTCATGAACATTCAGAGAGGTGGGTGTTAAGGACTGACGAAAGCAGACGTTTGTATAGTATGGCATGTGTTACAGGGATAAGCTTTTTGCAAAGGGTTCAGATTCAGCTCTGAATATTCACTGCTTCATGAAAAGTGGTTTAGAATACCTTCAAAGATTCATTTCACTACAGAGAGGAACAGACTTTCTGGGGTCTGAAGGGATTTGTACTTAGAGATACTCTAGTCTGCAGGGGGTCATTTTGAGCCTTCTGCAGACAGAATTGTTTCAAATCTGCAGCTGCCTGGGAAACCTTCACTGTGGCCGAGCCCAGCCTCCAGCTGTTGAACTATTCTTCCTAGCTGCAGTACTGGAGGAACCAGACCTGGTGCACGGGAGAGCTGGGTGGTAGTGGGTCCCCAGTTAATCAGTCAGTTTAGAGAGGAGGCGACTGAGCCACAGAGAGTAGTGCAACTGCCTGAACTGTAGGTCCTCTCTTCTCTTTCTGTCCCCAAAGCCCCATATGCAATCAGCATCATGGTGGTGCTTGCTATGTTCCGGGAGAGTGCTAAACATTGTACATTTATTAGGTCATTCAGTCCCATTGAAAACCCTGGGAGGTAGGTCCATTTATTATTCTTGCTTTACAGATGGGGAAACCAAGGCACAGAGCAGTTAAGCAATTTACCCCAAGTCACACAGTACTAATAACTGTAACTAGCTTTTAATGAGAACCTGGTATGTATCAGGTTCTGTCTGCAGGAGCCTGTTGAATCCTGATAATAAGCAGAGGTGGCAATTGGTGCTATTTCTCCATACAATGGAAGAGGAAACTGCCTCTTGCTTGAGGTCACCTAGCTAAGCAGGCCTGGAGCTTAATCTCCACTCCATTCATTGGATCTGGGTGTGGTCCCAGTGCCATTCAGCGTTCCAGGAGCTGAGGATGCATAGAGGGGTGGGGGCACCTATGGGGAAGAAGCTGACTTGTAGGGGAGGGCCACAAGCAGAACAATATACGAGATCTGTCTAGGAGGGTCTGTGCTGCAAAGAATGATGAAGCTGACAGGGATGAGCGGCAGATAAAGCTTTGACAAAGTGGTCACGGAAGGGGGAAAGGAGATAGATATACATACATATATATATTTCCCCTCAGCTTTTCTTTTTTAATTTATTGATTTTAGAGAGAGAGAGGAAGAGAGAGAGAAACATCGATTTGTTGTTCCACTTATTTATGCATTATTGGTTGCTTCTTTTATGTGCCCTGACCGGGTATCACACCTGCAACGTTGGTGTACCTGGACGACTCTAACCAGCTGAGCTACCCGGCCAGGGCTTTCCCTCAGCTTTTCTTTATCTTTTATGACCTTGATGTTTTTGAAGAATCCAGGCTCTTTTTTTTTCTTTTTTTTTAATAAAAAGCTTTATTGTGGGGTGGACTGGCAAGGAGACTGGAGGCAGAGCTCAAATATGCCTCCCAGGCTAATTATTTTGGTATAATGCTCTTCAATTTTATTAGATTGATTAGACATAATTGTCCCTCATAATTAGATTCAGGTAATCCACACACCTGTGTCCTGTCCTTCTTAATACATCACATCAGGAGGCACATGGTGTCTGTCTCATTACTGCACATATTAGGTTTGATGCCTAAGTGAAAGTGTCTGTCTGCCATGTTTCTCCACCATAAAGTTACTCTTTACAATGAATATCTTTTGAAGAGACACTTTAAGACTATGTAGGTATCCTGGAAAGCGGGGACTGGTGGAGGGAAGGTGCAGGTTTTAGGAGGGGGAATCAGGAGGTTGGTTTGGGACAGGTTGAATTGAGATTCGGTAGGTAAGCCTGTGTTCCCATTCCTCCCTCTTCCTGTTATCACCCCTCCCTTTGTAATGGCTCCCTGCTCTTCTTCACCCAACAGCCTGGACAATGCAGACTCCACTGACCAGTCCTGTGCCTGTGCTTCGGCTCCCCCGGGGCCCTGACGGCTTGAGCCGAGGCTTTGCCCCTGATGGACGTAGGGCCCCTCTGAAGCCAGAGGTTCCTGAAACCCAGGAGTCTCTTGCAGTTCACGAATGCCGGGAATCCCAGGAACAGCAGGCCCGAGCCATCCTCCGGGAGCGCTACCTCCGCAGCCTGCTGGCCATGGTGGGCCGCCAGGTCAACTTCACCTTGCATGAGGGTGTGCATGTGACAGCTCACTTTGGAGCCACCGACGTGGACGTGGCCAACTTCTACGTGTTGCAGCTGCAGACTCCGATAGGTGTGCAGGCTGAGGCACTGCTCAGGTGTAGTGATATTATTGCATATACCTTCAGGCTATAAAGACATTGTGGCTACCTTCTGCCTTAGGCCTGGCAACAGATTCCCAGGCCTCCAACTGTTCTGGATCTCTGGACCTCACAGAGTTCAGAACTCCCTTGGACTTTTGAGCCAAGCTCCAAGCAACTATGACTTCTTCAGAACTTAATGGTCTAGTCAGTAAAATTCTGCAACCCTATGAGTTCTAGATCCCATTGAAAGGAATGCTCTACTTCACAGAACTCCAAACTCTACAGAAATGTGGGTCTTGGTCCAGTTCCTGAAGGCTGAGGGTGAGGGAGGGTGGGGAGAGGGCAGTGGGAATAAAGGCAGGCAAATTGCAGAGTGGAAAATTGTTTATTATAGAAGTTGCAAAGTTCAGCCACTCTGAAGAAATTCCCCAATACTACCCTTCTGCCAAAGAACCAATTATTATTCCAGGAAAATCCGACTCTTGTTTTTTTGTTGTTGTTTTTTTAAGTGTACTCCACAGGGATGAAGCCAGATTTAGGGGGTGGGAGGGTAGCTGTCCAAGGACTGAATCCCTTGGAGCTAGGCCAAGGAGAGGGAGGGCACATAAGGCTGGGAGGAACTTGGATAAAGGTGTGTGGATTGGACTGCCCCTAGTCTCAGGGAACGGCTGGAGCGACCTGACGTGGGTACCAGGCTTGGATGATTTGGACTAGATTATTGGGTGGGCGGGGATGTACATAGGAAAGGGACGGGCATCGCTCTTGCTTACATGGCTGTGCGCTCCTGCCTGGGTGATGCGGCCCACACACCACCGTAGATTCGCTCCCCTGGCCCCCGTGGGGAAGGGTCTGGCCCTGTGCGCGGCGCCATTGAGAAAAGGCTGGGCGTTAGGGGTTAGGGTGAAGCTTCACCTCGTCTAGATTTCGCTCTGGCTGTGTGGCATGGCCGTCCATATCACTTGCTTCACTTCGCCCCGTCACTAGCAGATTCGTTAAAAAAGTAATTTCTGCCCCCTTTGTAATCCCATCAACTTCAGAATGTAAGCGAGGATACCATTCACTCTGTACATGAGATTTGAACGTTCCTCTTAAGCCACGGAAGTGCGGCGGCTGATGATGTCGAAGACACGTGTCAAGTCTCAGCTTCCACAAGTCCATTCACAACGCCACCTCTGGCGAATCCGCGGCCTAGCTCTGCAGTTGCCTTGGCAACGACGTCGCTCGCTCCTCCCCCAAGTCACCTTCTTTAGGTTTTAGCCCCGCCTTTCCCTCCTGAGTTGCTTGGTGGGCTGGCGAGAGTGGGGGGGCGAATGTTAAGTGATTGGATTGAGCCGGGGCGGGGGAGGGGAGAGCGTGGGAAGGCGTGAGGGGGCGTGGCTTGAGCTCGTGGTGGTTGGCTCCTGGCTGGGTCTACCTGCCCTACCGCTTGGTATTTTGGTTGGCAGATTCATCCCTGCTTTTGGATTCCTTCCTTCGCCCACCCCCACCCCCTTTTAAAATCAAGGCTATGATACTCATGGGCTTATACTTATTTTGGTTTCTAAATTTAAATTGTATTTTATATAACGTTATCCAGATAGAGTATTGATGAAACTGCATTCTGCAAATGGAAGGCTAGAGACTAGCGAGGGGGCATAAGCTTGGTCTCCAGGTCGAGGGTCCCTCTGTCAGTATCCATCACCTGAACTCATCACCTGAACAGCTCCTATCACCTTTGAAGTTCTCCACCCCTTTACTTCTCTCATAGCCCAGCCAAGCAGATGATCTTATTTCTATCAGCTCCCCTCCCTGCTGCAGTGCCTGAGCTCGTGACGAATGTGTGCGAGCCCGAACCACAGTTATCTGGCTGGAGGCGGGAAGGGGGGTGGGGGCGGCTCGGGTTCGCGCTTGCGCGCTGCTCTGGGAGACGGCGTCCATCACGCCCCGCGCGTCATGCTCTGCAGTTCGGGCTCTGCGGATTCAGTGCTCACGTTTCTTTTTCCCGCGGCTCTTGCTGCCTTTTGTTCCCTCACTTCAGCAACCCGCGAGGCCACTCTACCTGCAGGTAGCTCACATTGATTTTCTGCTTTGCTTAGTACGCGGTGGGCTCGCCGGCCTTTAACGAAAGTGCGGCTGCGAACAAGCTGGCGGGCTCGAAGCTCGGGGGAGGCGCGCTCGGGCTCCCGGCGGCGACGACTACGACGACCAGGAAAGCGGACGGAGGCGGCGCCTGAAAAAGCGGCGGAGCCCATGCCCCGGGACGGCGGGCGGGCCCGGAGAGACAAGTCCGGGGCCCGGGGCATGTCC